CTTGCGACCTTGTCGGGCTCTTCTGGAAACACCCTGTCCTGCCTGGCAGCCCCATCGGGCTGCCTTGGGGCCCTCCTGGACCGGAGAGCCAAACATCGACTCGATGAATCGCATCGGCGGTCGGCACGAGTCGGATCGGCGGAACTCGGCAGCCAACTCGGGAAAGTCGGAGCGGCGGAAATCGGCAGGCCAGGAAGGCCTCCACTGAAAATTCGGAATCCAGATCGGAACCCCCGAGTCAAGTCGAATCGGGATCGGAAGCCATCGAAATCTAATCGAATCGGAGGAGGTGAAATGATCGGCGGTGAACGGGGGGGGAAGTGAGAAGGGGCGGGCCTTATCAGAAGGCTCGGAAGTCCCCCAGCCTTCTGAGAAGTTTCCGAAGCCTTCCCCGAAGACACAGAAAACTTCTCAAAGGCTGGAGGGGTTCTGAGACGCCCCGCAGCCATCTGAGGACGCCTTCTCCTTGCCGTTTCCCCCCCTCGCTCGACGCTGAAAAGAGCCCTGGGGCCACGAGGCATCGGAGGCGTCCAAGAGGGGAGCGTCCCAGAGGGGTGGGGCGCAAAACATGGCCAAGGGCATGTGCGTGGCCCGAGGAGGGCCAAGTGACGTATTGGAATAATAACAGGGGCCAGGACATCTGGGGAGATATCATGGCCCCCGCCAAGATACCCCCCCTAGTTGTCACCCCCCTTTTGTAAAGGGGAACTGGGACACACAAATAAATACACACCAATAAAAATTATCCCGGCAAAGCAACCTAACAGCGATATGTATAAGCATATCTGAAAGCATTCCCCTTAAGATTCAGATGAAAATCCAGTTGTAGAATTCTGCTGTTTTCGCAGTCGTAGTCGCATTCGCGATGACAGTCGCAGCGGCAACGGCAGTCGCAGTCACAGCCTCAGCCTCAGCCTGCCTCAGCCTCAGCCTCAGCCTGCCTCAGCCTCAGCCTGCCTCAGCCTCAGCCTCAGCCTGCTTCAGCCTCAGCCTCAGTCTGCCTTCAGCCTCGGCCTCAGCCTCAGCCTGCCTCAGCCTCAGCCTGCATCAGCCTCAGCCTCAGCCTCAGCCTGCCTCAGCATCAGCCTGCCTCAGCCTCAGCCTCAGCCTGCCTCAGCCTCAGCCTCAGCCTGCTTCAGCCTCAGCCTCAGTCTGCCTTCAGCCTCGGCCTCAGCCTCAGCCTGCCTCAGCCTCAGCCTGCATCAGCCTCAGCCTCAGCCTCAGCCTGCCTCAGCATCAGCCTGCCTCAGCCTCAGCCTCAGCCTGCCTCAGCCTCAGCCTCAGTTGCTTCAGCCTCAGCCTCAGTCTGCCTTCAGCCTCGGCCTCAGCCTCAGCCTGCCTCAGCCTCAGCCTGCCTCGGCCGCAGCATCAGCCTGCCTCAGCATTCAAAATGTGGCCCAGGAGTGGAGTTCTGGGAACTAGAAGAACACGAAGTGGCCTACAGTTGGCTCCGGGCATTCAAAATCATGCCCAGGAATGGAGTTCTGGGAACTTGAAGAGCACGAAGTGGCCTACAGTTGGCTCCGGGCATCCAAAATGTGGCCCGGGAATGGAGTTCTGGGAAATAGAAGAGCACGAAGTGGCCTACAGTTGGCTCCGGGCATCCAAAATGTGGCCCGGGAATGGAGTTCTGGGAGCTCGAAGAGCACGAAGTGGCCTACAGTTGGCTCCGGGCACTCAAAATGTAGCCCGGGAATGGAGTTCTGGGAGGTCGAAGAGCACGAAGTGTGTGACTGTTGACGAAAAACGAGCCCGGCTCTGTTCCCGGTTCTCCAGAATGTGGCCCGGGAATGGAGTTCTGGGAGGTCGAAGAGCACGAAGTGTGTGACTGTTGGCGAAAAGCGAGCCCGGCTCTGTTCCCGGTTTTCCAGAATGTGGCCCGGGAATGGAGTTCGGGGAGGTCGAAGAGCACGAAGTGTGTGACTGTTGGCGAAAAACGATTCCCGGTTCTCCTCCACAGCACCCGCCCAGAGGCTCTCCTGTGGAGTCCAGATGCTCTCTTTTGACCCCACTAGAAACCTATCAGCAAAAACTGTTAGGTAATATCCTCAATATTTTCTCATATTTTCTAGGTTTTCGTCTTCCCCCTCCACTTCCCATATGTTCAAATATTTTCTAGAGAATCGACAATTAATTCCCAACCAACCTGTGTTGTTGGGTCCTCGTTTTGAAGAGACGGTCCCCGCGTTCCTTCCTCTTTCCTCCTTCCTCCTCCTTCCTCCTCCTCTCTTTCCTCCTCCCTCCTCCCCCCTCCCTTCTGGCACACCCCTCACACGCTTTGGCCCCATAGGGAGCTCCACCGAAGGCCCCAGTGGCTGCGCCCGCATGCGGTTCCACCCCCCATTCTGGCACACCCCTCACACGTTTCGTGGCCCCATAGGGAGCTCCACCGAAGGCCCCAGTGGCTGCGCCCGCATGCGGTTCCACCCCCCATTCTGGCACACCCCTCACACGTTTCGTGGCCCCATAGGGAGCTCCACCGAAGGCCCCAGTGGCTGCGCCCGCATGCGGTTCCACCCCCCATTCTGGCACACCCCTCACACGTTTCGTGGCCCCATAGGGAGCTCCACCGAAGGCCCCAGTGGCTGCGCCCGCATGCGGTTCCACCCCCCGTTCTGGCACACCCCTCACACGTTTCGTGGCCCCATAGGGAGCTCCACCGAAGGCCCCAGTGGCTGCGCCCGCATGCGGTTCCACCCCCCATTCTGGCACACCCCTCACACGTTTCGTGGCCCCATAGGGAGCTCCACCGAAGGCCCCAGTGGCTGCGCCCGCATGCGGTTCCACCCCCCATTTTGGCACCCCCTCACACGTTCGTGGCCCCATAGGGAGCTCCACCGAAGGCCCCAGTGGCTGCGCCCGCATGCGGTTCCACCCCCCATTCTGGCACACCCCTCACACGTTTCGTGGCCCCATAGGGAGCTCCACCGAAGGCCCAGTGGCTGCGCCCGCATGCGGTTCCACCCCCCATTCTGGCACACCCCTCACACGTTTCGTGGCCCCATAGGGAGCTCCACCGAAGGCCCCAGTGGCTGCGCCCGCATGCGGTTCCACCCCCCATTCTGGCACACCCCTCACACGTTTCGTGGCCCCATAGGGAGCTCCACCGAAGGCCCCAGTGGCTGCGCCCGCATGCGGTTCCACCCCCCATTCTGGCACACCCCTCACACGTTTCGTGGCCCCATAGGGAGCTCCACCGAAGGCCCCAGTGGCTGCGCCCGCATGCGGTTCCACCCCCCATTCTGGCACACCCCTCACACGTTTCGTGGCCCCATAGGGAGCTCCACCGAAGGCCCCAGTGGCTGCGCCCGCATGCGGTTCCACCCCCCATTCTGGCACACCCCTCACACGTTTCGTGGCCCCATAGGGAGCTCCACCGAAGGCCCCAGTGGCTGCGCCCGCATGCGGTTCCACCCCCCATTCTGGCACACCCCTCACACGTTTCGTGGCCCCATAGGGAGCTCCACCGAAGGCCCCAGTGGCTGCGCCCGCATGCGGTTCCACCCCCCATTCTGGCACACCCCTCACACGTTTCGTGGCCCCATAGGGAGCTCCACCGAAGGCCCCAGTGGCTGCGCCCGCATGCGGTTCCACCCCCCATTCTGGCACACCCCTCACACGTTTCGTGGCCCCATAGGGAGCTCCACCGAAGGCCCCAGTGGCTGCGCCCGCATGCGGTTCCACCCCCCATTCTGGCACACCCCTCACACGTTTCGTGGCCCCATAGGGAGCTCCACCGAAGGCCCCAGTGGCTGCGCCCGCATGCGGTTCCACCCCCCATGGCACATTCTGGCACACCCCTCACACGTTTCGTGGCCCCATAGGGAGCTCCACCGAAGGCCCCAGTGGCTGCGCCCGCATGCGGTTCCACCCCCCATTCTGGCACACCCCTCACACGTTTCGTGGCCCCATAGGGAGCTCCACCGAAGGCCCCAGTGGCTGCGCCCGCATGCGGTTCCACCCCCCATTCTGGCACACCCCTCACACGTTTCGTGGCCCCATAGGGAGCTCCACCGAAGGCCCCAGTGGCTGCGCCCGCATGCGGTTCCACCCCCCATTCTGGCACACCCCTCACACGTTTCGTGGCCCCATAGGGAGCTCCACCGAAGGCCCCAGTGGCTGCGCCCGCATGCGGTTCCACCCCCCATTCTGGCACACCCCTCACACGTTTCGTGGCCCCATAGGGAGCTCCACCGAAGGCCCCAGTGGCTGCGCCCGCATGCGGTTCCACCCCCCATTCTGGCACACCCCTCACACGTTTCGTGGCCCCATAGGGAGCTCCACCGAAGGCCCCAGTGGCTGCGCCCGCATGCGGTTCCACCCCCCATTCTGGCACACCCCTCACACGTTTCGTGGCCCCATAGGGAGCTCCACCGAAGGCCCCAGTGGCTGCGCCCGCATGCGGTTCCACCCCCCATTCTGGCACACCCCTCACACGTTTCGTGGCCCCATAGGGAGCTCCACCGAAGGCCCCAGTGGCTGCGCCCGCATGCGGTTCCACCCCCCATTCTGGCACACCCCTCACACGTTTCGTGGCCCCATAGGGAGCTCCACCGAAGGCCCCAGTGGCTGCGCCCGCATGCGGTTCCACCCCCCATTCTGGCACACCCCTCACACGTTTCGTGGCCCCATAGGGAGCTCCACCGAAGGCCCCAGTGGCTGCGCCCGCATGCGGTTCCACCCCCCATTCACACCCCTCACACGTTTCGTGGCCCCATAGGGAGCTCCACCGAAGGCCCCAGTGGCTGCGCCCTGGCACACCCCTCACACGTTTCGTGGCTCCATAGGGAGCTCCACCGAGCGCCCCAGTGGCTGCGCTCGCATGCGGTTCCACCCCCCCATTTCGGTACACCCCTCACTCGTTTCGTGGCCCGGGGGCGCCACCGAAGAATATATTCACAATTGCGGTATTCACAACTACGTATGGTTGGGTCTTTCGTCAGGCTAATTGTGTCTGTGTTTTTTTTTCCCCTCCTGATTTTGGCCGCCATCCAAGGCACCCATGGGCCACCTCCGGCAGCACCCCGGGGACGGGCATGCGCAGCCGCGCCACGCCGGCCTGCACCTCGCCGAGCGCCCCGTGGTCGAGCGCGCCGTCCGCGGCGAGGTCCCCTTCGGCGGCGGCCGCCGCCGCCCGCGCGCGCCGCGCGCTGCCGAAGGGCGGGTCGCTGCCGCCGCCCCCGAAGTGCCGCAGCAGGTGGTTCCTCCAGGGAGAGGAAGCGTCCAGGGCGACGACTAAAAACGGGTCTTACGCGAGATGACGTATGGCTCTTGCGCGGCGGCTGACGCGGGCCGCCAGCGCGGCACTCTAGTCGGACCAGGGCCAGAAGAGCATCCTTCAAGAGCATGAGACCCTCCGTCGGCCAAAACAAAGGGAACATCCAAGGGAACACTCCTCAGGGTGGACAAGAACGTCCGGCAACCACGGAGAACACTATTGTACCCTTTCCGCGCCGACCTCCATCTTATACCTCGGTCCGCTTGTACGCCGGAGACGAGGGCGCTTACGCGTGACCTTACGCGGGTAATTTAAGCGCCAATGTTGGCACCAACGCGCCTGCTTTCCGCGCCGCTCGAACATGCGTTTCCATCATGGCATCGTTCCTCGATTTCGGCCTGCTGTCGCGCTCGGGCCATCGAAAACGGATCCGGGACGGAACAAACACCATCCCCGAAGAAAGGGTCGGGAACTCTGTCCCCAAACGTGGTGGTGACAACACCTGGCGGTGAGTCTCGGGCGATTTGGTGTCACCACCCGGTTTGGGGACTCGTGCGGTTTTCCGAGGATGTCCCGGACACTGGTGGGCCCAGGAGTCACAAAACCCGGTGGTGACCCCGCGTCCCCAAACCCAGCGGTGACCTTTTTGGGGATTCCAGGTCGCCACCCGGTATCTCACCACCCGGTTTGGGGGTTCCCAAACTCTGGTGCCGCGGACGGAACAACCGGACCAGAGGATGTGTGGCCTGGGGACAGGCGCACAAACACCGCTCGGAGGTCCGCGCGGGCTTCCCAAGTCAGCGCTGTGGGCACCCCTCAGCGGCGCTCCGCGCGCCAGGGAGGGGAGTGCCCAGCGCCGATGCGAGGACGAGGAGGACGAGGAGGAGGAGGACGAGGAGGACGAGGAGGAGGACGAGGACGAGAAGGACGAGGAGGACGAGGAAGAGGACCAGGAGGACAAGGAGGACGAGGAGGACGAGGAGGACGAGGAGGATGAGGAGGACGAGGTGGACGAGGAAAAGGCCCCCTCTGGGAGGCGCCACTAGCAAGCGAGGGCGGCCAGCCTGAAAGAGTCCGCGCGGACATCCGAACGTTTGTTCGCGTTGCTGCGGGAGGTTTTCCCTCCTTCGAGCCTCACCCTCGGAAGGTCGGCGGCTGCAACAGGGGCAGACAACCGAGGGGGGAGCACTACACGTGTCCAGAGAGAGTCCGTGCCTTCGACGAGGCTCTGTGGCGAATTCGGTTCAACGCAACGAGCGGCCGCAGGCTAGAGTGACCTCTGGTGGTCGCCTGCCCGTCCTTGCGTGCGATGCGACGGCAACGGCCTGCTCTCATCGGGTTTGGCCCCCCGCGCCCCCCGAAAGCGGCGCACCACCAATCACATCAGCGACGGGCTGCTCTTATGTACGCGTCGCCGCCGAATCCACAAACCACCGTCCCCCCCAGAATCCCCTGCCCCAGGGCACTCAGACCGGAACCTCCCCCCCCGCCCCCCCCTCCCGAACAAAAATCGTTTCCCGGGTAGACTGGGCCATTCCCCACTGAACTGGTCCACTCCCGGGTTGTAGGTTCTGGACATTCAAAAACTTCAGAAGCTTCAAGAACCTTTCAAGAAGGTTCTTTCTTGGCAGCTCCTGAAGCGCTTTCTGCAACTTCTATAGCGCTCCTTGGCAGCTTCTACGGAGCTCCTTGGCAGCTTCTAAGGCGTTCCTTGGCAGCATCTGTGGCGCTCCCTGGCAGCTTCTAAGGCGCTCCTTGGCAATTTCAAACGCGCTCCGTGGCAGCTTCTAAAGCGCTCCTTGGCACATTTGTTGGGCGCCCCTTGGCAGCTTCTAAGGCGCTCTTTGTCAGAAGCCCTCAGGAACCCCCGGCATCTTTACGAATCTGTGAGAAGCCCCAAGGATCTTTAGAAATCCTTGTACATCTTCAGAAATCACAAATTATCCTTAAAACATCCGGAAGAATCTCTGGGAATCATTCGGAACCTTGACGATTCGTCCAGTATCTGTGGGAATCAAAAGGAACGTTCAGGAATCCGCAGGAATCTTCACAAGTTCTCAGGAATCCGTAGGACTCTTCTGGAGTCTACTCCCAAGACCACCTGGGGTGCGTTCTGACCAGGATTTCGAGGCGACTTCAACCGTCGCAGCTCCAACGAAGGGTTACTCTTACACATGTGTCGCCGCCGCATTCATGTCCGCCCCTGCGCCGTCCGCGGAGCAGGGCGAGTTGAAACAACGGCAACTCACAATCGGTCCAAGGACCCCGACATCCAGACGCGCCATTTCTTCTAAATTTTTTCCGAACTGCGTCCAGCCGTGGAGGCGAGGGACCCCCAACGGCCAACTGCCGTTGTCTCGACTCACCATCCTCCTCCTCCTCTTCCTCCTCCTCCTCCTCCTCCTCGTCCTCCTGTCGCCGATGCATCGGCGACGTCGGCGTGGAGACAATCGGGTTCCGCATCGAGCCGCACTGGCGATAGCTGCATCTGAGAGGGCGTCGGCCTCACACACATATAGATAGAAGGCCTGCGCTCTCTGAGAAGCACGGGGTGCTTCTCAGAAGCCTTCGCCCCTCCCCTCGGCCCCCTCTCCGCGCGGCCGACACTGAGCGGTAATGCCCCCCCCTGCGCCATCCGCCCCCTTTGCCTCCGTCGAGGCAGCCCAGGCAGACCTAGAAGAAGAAAAAACGCTATGGACATACACTTTTGGCGCTCCGCGCGGATTTCTTGGATCTGCGCGCCAGGGGCGGCGCCGGAGGCGCTTCCCGGGGGCCCAGCGCGGATTCAAGGAATCCAGCGCGGAGCATTAAAACTTATAGTTATGGCGTTTTTTCGTCTTCGAAGACCGCCGCGGTCGCCGAGGCATCCGGCGAACTCCCGCGCGAGGGCGGCGGCGTCCAGGCCGCCGGCCGCGGCGGGCCCTCCCGCGGCCAGCGCGGCGGCCAGGAGGCGCACGGCCACGGCCCCGAGACGCGGCGGGGCCATGCGAGCGGCGGCACCGTGCTTGCCAGCGCGCCAGCAGGCGGCGGCTCCGCGCTGGCAGACGGCGACGGCGGGAAGCCAGAACGGCTGCGTACGGAATCTGTCCCTCCTCCTCGTCTTCCTCCTCCGCCTCCTCCTCCTCCTGCTCTCCATTATTATTCTTCTCATCCCCGTCCTCCTTCTCCTCCTCCTCTCCCTCATTCTCCTCCTCCTCCTCGTCCTCCTCGTCGTCGTCTTCCCCCTCTGCCCCATATTGTCCTCCTCGGGATCTTCCTCCTACTCTCCCTCTCCCCTCCTCCTCGTCCTCTCGCCCTCACCCTCCTTCTCATCGTCGTCCTCCTCCCGCGGAGAGAAGAATACTGAACTCATCCGCCTCGTTGGGACGCGTAGTGGCCCAACCTAGAGACCCTCACATAACTGCTGCTCCGCTCAAGCGTGAGGCCTGTGCAGCACTGATTTGATTGGAGTCCGCGCGCTTCCTGTCCCGACTCCCTCCCCCGACTCCCTCCTCCTCCTCCTCCTCCTCCTCCTCCTCATTCTTCTCCACCGTCCCCCTTCCTTCTAAATAAACCCTCCCTGTCGAACCCCGGGACATGTCGGCAAGGCGGGCCGGGCGTTGCGCGGGAGACTTCCTCACCATTTGCGACCCTGACGCTTAGATTTTGGAGCAATTTCACGGATGGAGGGCGGGCCGTTTTCAAAATATAGCTCTCGTCTCATCGCCACGCGCAAGCGTCTAAAGTTTGCCAGGGCTTCTCGGATGGAGGGCGGCTCCTATTCAAAATGTGGCTCTCACCTAAGCGCCGCGCACATTCGTCTTAAAAGTTTACCCCGTTTCAATGATTCTTATGGTTGACGCTCCAGAAATGGTGTTTGGCACGACTCAGGATTGCCAGGGAGCAACAGTTATGTCGATTCGCGGTGTTGAAATTCCAGGAGCGGTGTTCTGGCACGATTCAGGATCGTCAGGACGCGCCAGTAACGTTGATTCGCTGCGTTGAAAACCCTGGAGAGGTGCTGTGATACGGTTGATGATCTACAGACGGATGTTTTCCAACGGCGCACTTCCCGCAGTGAAACAAAAATCCTTGCAGGAACCTGTGAACTTGGAGGGAATGTTTATTGCAACATCGCTGGTGCGTGTCGGGCTTACACGGGTCCTCCTCCTCCTCCTCCTCCTCCTCCTCCTCCTCCTTCCGCCCCACGGAGACGACACAGCTGCTGATGTGCCACGCTGAGCTGCGACAACAAATCGGCGCGGCAGCTCGCGGACGCTCGCCAGGGGGCGGGGCCGGGCGGGACGCGGCGGCCGGCCTCCGTCCTGGGAGATGGCCCCGACACGGTCCGGCCGCCACTCGCCTGCGGAGGCGCGTGATTATCAGATGCGCATCCGTCCTCTTGTTTGGCGGCGCGCACAGCGGGCCTCAGATCCAGGCGTGGCAAACCATCTCGACGGCGGCTTGCGTGCGTCCCTGTCGGGCTGCGGCGGCCGTGTTCCTGCCCGGGGAGCGTCAGACACACGACCCTGGGTGACAACAACCCTAAGGAAATCGTCGAGAACCCCGGATGCTGACGGCACGAACACATACATGCAGCACCCCAGGAGGGGGGGGGGCGATGGGGGCGGCCTTCAAGGAGTGCAGGGGGCCTCCACACGCGGCTCGGCGGCCTCCGCGAAGGCTTCTCAGAGCGCGGGGCGGCTTCCGAGAAGCCACCCCTGCCTTCCTGGACAGACCGCCCTCCCCGCGCTCCCCCACCCGTGCGCGCCGCCGACTTCCCGCTCGGGCGCAGCACCTCCGCTCCAGACATGTTGGAGGGACCACCGGCGTACTTCTGCCGAGGAGGCCACATAAAGTCTGCGGACAAGAGCGAAGGAGCCGCATGCTGAGGGGCCCCTAACGGCGGCGTGTCGTTGATGCTCTCCTGCCCCCCTCCCGACACGTGAGAGGTCAGGCCGTGGTTTCGGACACCGCGCGGATTGCTCAGACCTCGACGATCGCAGCTTTCCGAAGGCGCAGATCGTTCGCTGCCAGCCGAGCTGGCCACTGGCGGCGTTCAGGCTTGCATGTCCGCGCCGGGGTCGCCGCCACGTCCGTCGACACCACATGACATTGCTGGACCTCCCCACTGGCGCGCAGAGCGCGCCAGGGGCGGCGCTGGAGACGCCGCCAGGAGAGCCCAGCGCAGATCGAAGACAGGAGCACCGAACACCCATGTTTATGCAGTGTTTTTCGTACTCGGGTGTCACTGCGGCGGATTCGTGGCGTGATGAACCAGGCGCTGGTTTCTGACACCACGAGAATCGTTCAACCTTGAACGATCGGCGGTTATTCGATCGCCAGCTCGTTCCATTCTGGCCGATTCTAGGCCGCTGGCGGCGTTCAGCCTTGAAATCCCGCGGCGGGGTCGCCACCGCGTCGACACGACACGGACCGACCGTATCATTTACCCTGACTTCTTGACCCTCTGAGCGTGAAGGACCACGCGAGGGGGACGACAACTACACAGATCCACTGCTCCCTGGCCCGGCCCATCCTGAACACAGCAGCGGTGTGTGTGCGCCACGCCCTCCTGGCTTGGCCAGGAGGGCGTAGACACAGCTCCTGGGTTCAGGATGCGCCTGGCCAGGGAGCAGTGATGGGCCGATTTTCCACTACCACTGCCATTGGTAGGGGAGGCAGGAGGAGCAGGACGAGGAGGAGGAGGACGAGGAGGAGGAGGCGGAGGAGGACCTCCCCATCCTCCCTTCTCCCCCGTCCTACAATGTGGCAGTGGTGGTGGAACAACTGGCCCATCAAGCGGCGGATACGTATAGACTTCGTCGCCCAACACGCCACGTTCCCGCTGCTGCGTCCCTGCTCTGAAGGTCGGCAAGGGGTGTGGCATCGAGGGGCATGGTGCCAATCGTGGAGATGGCGATGCTATCTGCGATAAATAACATCGCCAGAGTCCAATTTACATAAACTTGACACCACACCCATGGCTCATTTATACCATACCCCTTTTCTACCTCCAAACCTGCCTCTGGAATCAGCTGATCCGGGTCAATCCAGACCCGGATCAGTCAGGCGTTGCAAACTCCTACAAGATCCTGCACCCAAGTCCGGGTCAATGCGACGGATCCTGCAAGATCCTGCAGGATCCTGCACCCAAGCCCGGGTCAGTGCGCCCCTGGCCCTGCAGGATCCTGCAGGATCGAGCGCTCTGGCTGACCCCCGCTTGCATGGACCCCCGTCTCCGGGCTCCCGAATCGGGGATGGACAGACCCCCCTTTAGTAAAACGTGGTTTAGTGAAAACGACCTGAGGCCCAAACCTGGTGGGCGCAAGCCTGGAAAGTAACGGCCACGGCGCCCTCTCGAGAACCGAAAACGGACAATTCACTAATCGACGTGTCACTGTTGGGGGTTCTGTCCACCCCCGACCCAGTGGAGTGTGCTCCGGCCCCTTCTCGAAGTCCGTGCCGAGAGCTCCCAGGGCTCCAGGGGCACGAATTCCCCAGGAGGGCTGGGCGCTCCCGGGCGCGGCGCGTGGCGCGCGCGCGCGCGCGCGCTCCGCCAATCGGGCGCGCTTCTGCGAGGCCTGCGGCCTCGGCCGCCCCAGCGGCACGAGCACCACGGCGGAGGCCGCGCACGGAGCGGGGGGGTCCCCCGATCGCATTCCCAGAGTCGGGCGTTGGCAGAACTGGGCTTAACTTGACCTGGTTTAGTGATGTGCACTGAAGAAGAGGAGGAGGAGGAGGAGGAGGAGGAGGAGGAGGAGGAGGAGGAGGAGGAGGAGGACACGCGAGAGGACGCGAGACCCTTCCGAGGGCCACATTGCCACAGGGATGTGAGAGGCAGGGGTCGCGAGACACAGGACACAAGGGTACCCTTGATTTGGCAGGGCCGACCCACGAACTTAACCAGAGCCGACTGTAGTGATGTGTACTGGGGGACGCCCCCCCCGCTCCGTTCCACTAACCGGAATTGTCGTCACCCGAAAAAAACACAAGCTACGGCAGACCTGGTTTGGTGATTCTGGCCAATGTAAGGGCTCTGGGGCCCTACTACCAACCGGGTCCCCTTACATGGGGTCCTGGCTATACCCGACATAGGTTGGCGGCGCGCACAGGGGGGTAGGGTTAGGTCGGGCATGTCCCCCTGCAGGCCGATCTTGGAAGAAAAATACACATTGGCCAAATAATGCTCCCAAGATCAACAAACATGGTAGAAAATCGTCCCCAGACTATTTTTTACTATTTTGGAGCATTCCCCCTGTAGAGGGGCACGCCCGACTGAAGGGTATGGGGAGGGGGGAAGGCTTCTTAGAAGAGGCTGCTTCTTAGAAGTCGCCAGCCTTACATCTACAGACAAGGCCCGCGCCTTCCAAGAAGCAAGGGTGTTTCTAAGAAGCCTTCCCCCCTCCCCCTACCCCCCTCTGCGCGTGCCTGAATAGGCCTGCCGCGGAATGCTCTGAGAGCCCAGGAAAGCTCGAGCAACGACAACAACGCTTTACGAACACACAAGGCCGATATCTATTGAGGCAAAATTGCCTCAGCCAAAACTGTTTTAAGAGCATTCCGGACAGAGCATAAACGTTCTTAGTCATTATTGGGTGGGCGTATAAAGGCGTCAGGACGCTTCGCCACTGTTTGATACATGTCAACCTTCTCGCTCTCAACATGCGACGACGACACCACACGAAAGTCATGATGATGGCGCCGTGACGCCACGAATTCGTCGTGGTAGCACCGTGCGAACCCGACCGCAACGAGGAGCCCCCATCCCTGTACCGATCCCAGAACACATAAGCAACGGCAGGCACCACTGTGGTGAAGGCATCCCAAGTCGGATCCGAGAAAATGGGGTTGGAGGATCGCGCTGCATCGCCAATACATAGGCGACGTCAGTACGGAGACAACTGGGCCTGCATGCGGGGCCTCCAGGCTGTCAGGCTGTGATTGCCCTGAAGCTAATTACGCTCCATTCGTTTAAGCTTGGTCTCGGCTGAGCTGCATCGGGAGTTTCGGTCGCCGACTCTTGCGAATTCGAAGACTAGATCGGACCACTCACGCCCCCCACCCCCCTCCTCCTCGCGACGACGACGCCGACGATCGGCTGATCGTGTCTTCCGTGGAGCCACGGGGGCGCCTATGACGGGGGTGATGTCATGGCATGCCAGGCTCCGGATGCGTACGTTCCAAGAGCTGCGGCTGGCGGCCCTCGCTTCTGCAGAATATCCGCCACCGTGACCTTGGGCTACGAGCTGGAGCGCCTTCGGGGCCCTCGGTTCGTCGAACCAATGCTTCGATCCCTTGGAGCCCCCGTCCTCAATCCTGAGGATTCTTCAAGGGGCCCCGGCCCAAATTTCTCACATCTTCCGGGGCTGCCCGCGTGGCCGCTGGGGTTCCCCGCGTGGCCCTTGGGACGGGGAGCATGCTGTCGCGTGACTACTTCTTCGAGCCCGCGATGGCCCCAAAAAGGGCCCCAAGGTTTTCCGACAAGTGGCCCAGGGGGGGCCCGGAATCGCCACACGGTCGGTCCAAGACGCCAAAGCTGGTCCCAAAACGGCCTCAAGATGCCTTCGGGGACCCCAAAAGCCCATCAAAAAACATAGAAAAATCAAAATCATTGAAGCCCCTGAATCCTTTTTCCCGTGGGTTTGGGGGCCTTCGCCTTTTGGAGCTTCCGACGCTCCAGGACAGCCTAAAAGGCCCCCCCAAACCGCTCCAAGACAGCCGAAGAATCATCCAATCTTGGGGCCCTTCCGCCCGTCGGGGGGACCCCTTGGGGCCGAAGAGGTCACGCGACAAGATGCCCAGGACCCCCAGGCACACTGGGAACACAAGGGGCCCCCCAGGGGCCATGCGACGCGCCCCAGGAGATTTTACAAGCTTAACTATTGCCCCCTTCGAAAACCCTCAAACCCAAGAGGGCCCAAGGGGCCTTCAAACGCAAATAAAGCCTCAAAATGATCCCAAAAAACACCCCGAAGGCGTCAACACGACCTCCTGGAGGCTCCTGCAACGCCAGCCACAAAACCCCGACGAACACAGAAGAGTCCCAAGAAAGGCCCCTGAGGGGCAGCACGGGACGACATTTCGAGCGCTGATATGTGAGCACCGACGAAATGACTCACGCGGTATTGGCTTGGCACTACTAGAGGCATACAGGCGAGTTGCCTCAAGTGGCACTCGCTGGGTACCCATGGACATGCACCCCATTTGACACGAGTAATACGTGAGTGGTGCCACCTGGAACATACACACGAGATAACTGACAACCTTCCTGCTAAGTGCCACTTGAGGCATACAGGCGATATGGCCCAAAGGGTCTTTGCCCGGTACCACTGGGGCCAACCATGCGATATGATTGCGGACGGCACGTTTTACTTGAGCCATGCAAATGCGACCACCCAATTGGCAGTTGATGCTTGCTCGATTCCAACCTGATACGACTTGAAGCAGACAGGCGGCATAGCCAACTTTGTACCACTTGAAGTATACATGCCTCAGACGATCTGAATCCTGTGGTGCTGCGCTGGTGCCGCTTGAACCAGGTAGATGGCAAGCCTCACGTGGCATTTTTCTCGTGCCACTAGAATTATACAGGTAAGTTAACCCAAATCGAGATTACTCAAGTGGCAGAATGCTCTGGAAGCATTTGCATCGCACAAGCGATTTCCCGCCAATGGTTCTGCTTTCGCACGACTTCTGCCGCGCAGTCGGTAAGACTCAGGACAATGGGACTCAAGTGGCACTTCCTCGGGCCTGCTTCAACCAGACAGGCTGTGCTGTCGCGATCAAACCATGTAGTTTCAATGGTCATGGCTTGGGGCCACTCGAGGCATGCAGACGGAATGACTGGTGTGGTACTTCCGTAAGAAACACCTGATTGGTATCCACGCGTTGCCCATCCAGTCACGCTCACTTCGTGCCTGCGCACGCGTTGCGATTCAGACGCCACCCGCACGGCGTCAATTTCGCCAGAACCTCTGTCTCCATGTCTTGTGATATCCAGCGACCGAGGACTAGGATGAGCAAGAGCAGAAAATAAGCCTCATGAGTAAACTTGCGCTGGCAGATTGTTTTTTGTTTGTTTTTCTCTCGGGCGCGCCTTGCATGTGCGAGGGGAAATTGAAAGCGGCGACTGCAGCAATGGGAACGCCGCCATTTTTGGTTTCAAACTCAGAAACGAGCGCGCGCATCGATGCGCGATCAGATCAATGCCGCTGCGAGATATCAACTGAATTGCGAACGACCGCCCGCTGCGCTGGCACGCTGAACCGCCCGGGGCTTCTCGCGCCATCGCGTCGCGCGCTGAGCCTGGGCGCCTGCGACGGCGCGCGGGTCGCCCGCGCCTTTGGGCGCTGGCCCGCTTCAAGAACAATCGGAGGAACACTGCTAATATCTCACATCTGCCAAGCGGGTATTTGCAACCGCGCCAGCGCAAAAACCGCGTGACCTCGCTCGTGCATTCTAGCGGTGATGATCAGGCGTTCGTAGCAACGCCAAGCGCTGCAATCCTTCATCTGCTGGACTCGGCGCGGAAGCGCAGTGCCGCTGCTAGGCATGCGTCGGCAACAGCGCGGAGCGTGGCGCTCCTTCATCAGCTGGGCCCTGCCCGAAACCATCCGAAGGCTCGCGCGCCGTGGGCTCGAGCTCAGCGAGGCGGCGACCAGCAAACTTGCGGGGGATTTGCGGGCGTCGTCGGCGGCGGGCGACATCTCGCTATCCTCCTCCGCCAGGTGGCCGACGCAAGAGCGCGCGATTCCCTTCGCCCGAAATGCTGCGCGGCCCGCCTTCGCCCCCGCTGCCCGGCTGCCCCGCGAATGCGACCGTCGGCGCCTGCTGTTGCGCTGGCGATGAAGTGCCAGGCCTCGGAATGGAAGTGCGTTGCTGCGGCCGATGATTCTGGGCGCTTGCTTCGGATTCAGCGCCGCGACAAGGTCTCTACAATCGGTAATTTCTCGCAGTTCGCGCCCCGGCAGCCCGCGAACGTCTGGCGCCTCGGCGCCGCGCGCCGCGGGCAGCAGCGGTCGGCGCACTTGAAGCGACGACCTGGCCGACTGCTGCTCCTCAGCTGCTCGCTCGGAAAGTCCTCCGCCGCCTTCCACGCGTCGCCGAGCGAACGCTGAAGCGCCCGGCGCTCCCCGCGCAGGATGGGCCGCGCCTCCGCGAGAGTCCGCGGCGCGTGCTTCGGATGAAGCGGCGAAAGAGGACCTTGGCACCTCGCCCCCTTCGCGCGATCGGGGCACCGGCGCGCCGCGCGGGTCGGGCTACTCGGCCCGCGCGCTGCGCGTGCCAGCGCTCCAAGCACCTTTCTTTCGCCCGCCCCTTTGGGATCTCAGCAGAGGGCTTCTTGGCGATGCGGGCGGGAAGCCGCGGTGGCTTCGACGCTGCGTGCTTCGCGGCCTCCTTGCTGTCTGGCTGCGCGTTCGGGCGCGCCTCGCGCGGGAAGGACAGGGCGCCCGCCAGTCTGCAGAATGCGCTTCGAACTCAGCTGAGAGAGGGAGCTCGGCAATTGCCGCCCTTCGTGCGCATTGGGCTCTGGTAGACCGAGCGCGCCCGGCAACTTGGCGCCGCGCGCAACGGGCGCCGACAGTCGCGCCGCCTGGCCACGCGACCAGCCTCGGCGCCGCGCGTTCACTGCTGCTGCGGGAATTGCGACTTTGCCTCTGTCGTCTTGAACAAAGCGCCAAAAAGCTGCGTCGCCTCATGCGTGCCGACGTCCGCAGCGCATGCTTTCTACCTGCGCATATGGCGCAGCTCGCGCAAGAAGGACGGGGCCGCCGCCGACGTTTGAGGAATGAGTTTCGTGATCAGCTGGGAAATTTGAGCATCGAAGTTGGCGTCCTTCGTGCATTCTGGGTTTCCGCGGATCTTGCGCGCCCGGCAGTTCGGCTGCGCGCGCGGCGGGTAGCAGCCGATGCATCTGCGTGTGCGACCAGCCTCGTTGCCGCGCGTCCACTGCTGTCGCGGAAATGCATGCCGTTGCCCTTCCTGTCCTGCAGTGGTCTCGCAAAAGTTGCTGCCGCGACGGCGTTCTCGCGCAACCGACGCAGCGCCGGGCCCGGCGCCGCCCGTGGAGCCACGTGGGCTCGGGGGAAAAAACAGCTCCCACGTGGACTCGGGGAGAAAACATCTTCGGCTTCTGAGAGCGGCAACCCGCGCGCTGCTCAACTTGTTCCGTTGCTTCGCATGTCTGACAGACGGCGCCTTCCTTCCGTCCATTGTTGCGCCATGCTGGTCTCGACCGCTCAAATCTTCGGCAGCGAGTCCACGCGCTTCTTGCGTGGATGGAAAACCTTCCGCCTCAACATCGACGGCGCCCGCGACGCAGTCAGCGTTGCGCCGCGTGCGCCGTCGCAAGCGCCCAAGCCGAAGGATCCACTTGCTTTGCGTCAGAATCAGAATAGGGTCTGCTCTGCGACCGCGCGGAGCTGAATGCATCCCGGCAACTTCTGCATGTCGCCTTTTTCTTGAATTCCCAAATGCTGCCCACTCTCGCTGTTGAAACTTCCTCGCCGTGTTGCTGTCTCGAATATGGTGCGTCGCGAGAAACGGCTCGTCCGCGCAGGACTTCAAATTGCACGACCGGGCGGGCGTGCTGGCGGCCTCGTCCGAAGGAGGCGCGGGCTGCAAGGCTGCGCCGCGAACGGCTATGTCGCCTCCGCGACCCGCGGCAGCGCGATGTGCGGACTGCGACGACGGGCAACTTTCGTCGCCCATGTGGTGCAGCACGCGATGGCACCGCGACGCCCCCAAAATGCCCCCCTTGACGGCTCGTGGAAATTCCGCGAAGCACTGCCCAAGTGTCACGCCAATCGCATGCAAGATGCGCCTCAGTTGGTGGATACTTGGAACCAATGGGCTCACGCAGAAAATCTTACTCAACAGGTGCTGCCTCGATGCCACTTCACCCGTGGAGGCGAAATGCCACGCCAACGGAAGACGCAATATTTCACAACAAGCCCCGGGGCCCAACAGTCCCCAGCAGCATCCGAAAGTCCTCCGACCCACATGCCGGGCGCGGTGGCGGGGTGTGCCGAAGGCAAATCGAGAAGGCGCTTGGACAATCTCTGAAACTGCAAGGTTTCACGGGATGCGAGCCGGGATTCTGTGGACTGAGACTGAAACATTTCGACTCGTGGAAAGGAACCCAAGGGGCTTCGCCATTCCGCAGAGTAGCGGGGCCTGGTTGCGCCCGCGGTCAGGCTCCAGATTTCGCGATTAGAGACGGCGTCCGCGGAAGAGGTTTTGAATCGTGTTCTGGCCATGGAGAGCGCCGTGGTCCAGCAGCGTGATCAGATTGCACGATTGGAGCAACAAGTACGCGAGGCCAATGCCCGAGCAGCAGCAGAGACAGGAGCGGCGACGCTTGGAGATCGAGGCGACAGAACCTACCATCGACCCGAGTCTCTGGTCGACACGAAGCTGCTCGGGAAACCTGACAAGATCTCAGGTAAGCTTGACGAGAACGCAAAGTGCAAGGATGGGATCACCAGGGGAAACTGGAGCTCTGTTTTGGCGGCTTACTGAATGGCGGTGGACACGCATATGGCAGAGCTGATGAGGGGCGCGGCCAAGGTGGGCACTGAGGCCTACGCGCGCGAACACCACGCACCATTGCATCCTGGTGCTGACGTGCAAGGACAAGGCCCAGGGCGTCGCGATGAGCCTTCCTTCAGGAATAGGTCTGGAAGCATGGCGACTACTCTGTGGAATTCGCGCCGAAAGTGCCGTCGCGATCCTCGGGGATGCTGGATTTTATCCAGTATCAGCATGTGCAGGAGAACGACCCGATCAGTGGCATCGTGTCCTGGGAGACGCTGGCGCGGCGGCACGAGAAGCAGACGGGCGAGGCGGGCATGGGATCAATAACACAAATCCGCCCTGAGCACGCGGCTGCCACCTGCCAAGCTCAGGGAGCACCTGATGCTGAACGCGACGAGGTTCACGACGTATGCGCTGGCCATGGCAGAGGTGCTTAACTACTTGAGGTCCAAGCATGCGGCGATGGCACTAAGTGGCCCGGCGCCGATGGACTTGGACGCGCTTGCGTTTGGCAGGCGCGGGAAGGACGGCAGAGGCAAGCACGGCAAGGACAATGCCAAAGGCAAGGGGGGCGACAACGCGAGCACAAGCCAGCCATGCAAATGCTGCGGCGAGAAGGGACAAAAGCTGATGGGGCGCAGGAAGGCCGCGCAGGACATGAAGGACTGTAACGTCACGAAGGGCGAGCTGCGCAAGATAAGCAAAGGCAAAGGCAAGGGCGGACATGACATGAATGACATGCCGAAGGCGCCGCCAGCCCCAGATAGACCCAAGGACCAGGATGTCAAGTACGAAGGGTGCGACGACGACGCCGAGGAGGGATGCGTGGTCAAAAAAACGAAAGGAATTTGCCATATTTATGAAATTTGCTGGCCCCCCTCCCGCAGATCGGCGGGGTCAGGGTACAAAAACACAGGGGATGTGCTAGATTTCTGACATTCGGTGGCACCCCTCACGCAGATCCGTAGGGCCAGGGTCGAAAAATAATCAGGTCCCGACACTGCTTCACGGCGGCGCCCAGACCTCATGATTTAGCTTTTGCATCTCCAAATATCCGAGACAGGGGGCCGGCGGCATGGGGCGAAGCCCTTGCGGATATATATATATATATATATATATATATATATATATATATATATATATATCCGTATCCATTTTGGCTCAAGGCTCAAGGCTCGCACCCGCGCGCGTCCCGGGCCCCTCCCCGCGCGCGCGGCAGCCCGCCGTCGGCCAGCATGTGCGGTTGCTGAGGCTGGCGCTGCCCTTGCAGTGCTACGCAGCGTGCCCCTCGCAGGTCGGCGTCGCGGAGTGCCCCACCGCCGTGGTCTATGTTCAATGGCCACGGCACTGGTGACCCCCC